CTAGAGATATCAGTTCCTTGCCACATGGGCATCTCTATAGAGTAGCTCACAGCATGGTAGCTGGCTGTGTTCAGTACCTAAGCTGGGAAGTTACATCCCATCACCTCTGCCGTATCTATTTACTAGTAATCCCTAAATCCAGCCCACACTCACAGGGAGAGGATTACGCAGGGGGCAAAGAAAAGGAGGTGGGTGTCACTGAGGGCATCTTACAGGCTGCCTAGCACAGATAATATATAAGAATAGATATTAATTACATAAATGTGTCGAAATCACTAATTATACAGCCATTATTATTATTTATTAACAATTATATACATTGAAATTTCCTGTGTTTTTTTCATATTTGCAAATTCCAGAGTTTTTCTGTCTTTTTTGAGGAGGGAGGGAGCAGGTAGAGTGAGAAGATGGAGCTTTCCCTTCTGTTAATGCATTCCTAGTACTTGTCCTGTTTTGTTTGTCTAGAGCCAGTTTTATCACATTTACATTTTGTGTGTGTGTGTGTGTTTAACAGAACCCTCAACCTGGATCAAACATTTTACATTCGCATGGTCAAGAGACTATGGATGTAACAGTGCAAGACTGACTCCCAGTGTCTCAGAAAATGTACACGAAACAAAATGATGAGACAGAAGCACTGATTATTGCAGATATCAATTATACATGTTTTAGGGGCTGGCTGGTTAGCACAGTTGGTTAGAGTGGTGCTGCTGATAACATCATGGTCCAGGATTCGATCCCTGTACCGGCCAGCCACCAAAATAAGTAGATAAGTGAAATATGTTTACGTGCGATGATTAAATTCCTTTGCTTGTAGAGTAGCTGTTGCCCAGTTTCTCCACTTTGGGGAGGTCTATCTCCTTTTGCTCTTTTCTCTTTGCATNTGTGTGTGTTTAACAGAACCCTCAACCTGGATCAAACATTTTACATTCGCATGGTCAAGAGCCTATGGATGTAACAGTGCAAGACTGACTCCCAGTGTCTCAGAAAATGTACACGAAACAAAATGATGAGACAGAAGCACTGATTATTGCAGATATCAATTATACATGTTTTAGGGGCTGGCTGGTTAGCACAGTTGGTTAGAGTGGTGCTGCTGATAACATCATGGTCCAGGATTCGATCCCTGTACCGGCCAGCCACCAAAATAAGTAGATAAGTGAAATATGTTTACGTGCGATGATTAAATTCCTTTGCTTGTAGAGTAGCTGTTGCCCAGTTTCTCCACTTTGGGGAGGTCTATCTCCTTTTGCTCTTTTCTCTTTGCATCATTTCAGTCCATTTGGTACTTGTTCTACTTGCTGAACTCCCTGTATATTTCGAACAGTTTTCTTCCCTAAAACTTTAACTTCTACCCCTTTGCGTTTGACTACGTTTTTGAATGTTTATTTCTCAGAAATAGGAAGTTCCTACTTCAGGTCTTCATCTCCACTCGATTTAATTGACCACATTTGAGTTCTTATGTGCTAAGCACTACATCAGCTAAAGATGAGTGAAACTTGGCCTCTGCCCTTAAGGAATTCTCAGCCTAATAGGGATTAAAGACGAGTAAAAGAGTTTAATAAAATTGATGATATAATTATAAGAATAAGTAAAAAACGTAGCTCAGTAGAGGGAATGATGAACTTTTCAGAAGCAGAGGTGACCAGGAAAGGTGTCTGGGGTGAGGCAACGTCTAAGCTAGGTTTGGACGGACTAGGAGTGGTTTTCCCTCGCCCCAGTCTTCTAACCCGTCTGCAGGCGTCTCCAAGTGCATCTTTTGCATTTGCTGTCACTACATCATTGCTTCATTCCTCTACACACACCACTCCCCCTCCTGGCCCTCCCTCCCCTCCCACATAACCCTCTCCTCCCTCTTTTCCTTCCTTTTATGGGAATTTTGTGTGTGTGTGTTTAGCCCCTGGGTTTAATTTAGTTGGATTGGATTATTGTAATAATGTTTCTGTACATTTGCCCAGAGGCCTTCAGCTAATGAGTGTCTTCTTTACAGGCCAATAAACAGATGAATAAAGCCAGCCTGCTGTCTTGCATCTCTGCCTCCCCTCTCTTTCTTTGCACTTTACCCATCTTCCACAAACCCTTTTCGAAAACGAAAATTTTCCTGGGTGACTCAAACATACATTGCCTGCATGAATTCACTTTTACACCTGCCAGTCAGCTCCACGGAGTGCTTTCCTTTTGCCATGGAATGCGTTCTCTACCCAGACAGGAGATCCAGCCTATGTGGGATGGGAGTATGCATTGCTGCCCAGCAGTTCTTCCCCGGTGTCAGAGAGGACCTACACCATGATGGGCTTACATCTCTGGATGGCGTTTGCTCATTTCTGACCGTGGGTGCTGATTCTGACTTGATAGAATTAAACGAGGGCCGGCCTGTGGCTCACTCGGGAGAGCGTGGTGCTGATAACACCAAGTCAAGGGTTAAGATCCCCTTACCGGTCATCTTTAAAAAAAATTAAATAAATAAATAAATAAATCAACAGTGTGATAGAGCAGAGGCTGACCAGATCACCCTGAGAAAAGTAAATCTGAGGATCTCCAAGCCTGGGGATCCAAGCTTGGGCTCTGTAAACAAATGGGGAACTGTGCTAGAAGAAAGGAGCCCCCATAGTTGCCATGAACAAATTGCATTTCTGAAATCTACAGACTTCGTAAAGCCCAACATCACATGGCTGCCTCTGCTCTTCTGCCAGTCCCCGCCTCGCGCCCCCTCTACTCCGTCGCAGGTGCTGCTCCCTGCCTGCCCTCTCCTTCTTCCTTGCCCCGAACATTCCATTCCTATTTTCACTGCCCTAACTTCAGACTCCCTCCTCAGACCCCAGGAGAGCACCCCCTCCTACCGCCTGGGGAGGCTTTCCTAAACTCCAGTCTCCAGCGAGGCCAGCACATTGAGGTCATTGCTCTCCTTGCCAAATAACTGGCTTGAGTTCAGTTTCTCCATCTGTCTGAGCTTCATGGAAAACATGACCGTTGCTCTAGGCTCTCTATTCTACGTCCTGCCTTAGTTCGAATTTGCATCTGCTTTTTTTGTTTCTTCCCATGCCCTCCCCCTTCTTTTCTTTCCTTGACTCTCCCCAGACTAGAAGCACATCTGTTTTCTAGCCTCTTCCCTGTCACTGTGGAGCAGATGGGAGAAGAGCAAGTTCAGGGCCAGGTTGATCAGGAAGAGCTGGGGGATATTTATTTATTTATTTATTTATCGAGCTGCTGGCCGGTACAGGGTCCGACCCACGACGGTGGTGTTATAAGGCTGTACTCTAACCAGAGCTGGGGTTTGCACCCAGATTTTTTTCTGGGGCCTGACCAGAATTCATGTGTCTCAGAGATGGAACACTTGTAGTTCCCTCAGAGGTACCAGAGCTGCTGATGAAGTGCTACTTGCTTATTTCTGATTATGTCCATTGTTCTCCCCCCACTAGACAGTTTCCTTCCTTCCTTCCTTCCTTCCTTCCTTCCTTCCTTCCTTCCTTCCTTCCATCCATCACTTATTCTTTCTTTTTTCTAGTCTGTAATTGACTAATACTATCTGATCTCTGTCTACCTGTGCTCCTCTCTAATTTAGCTCACCAGGGAGATACACGATGTAGACTAAAGGAGCAAAGAAACAACCTGAAACATAAACACCTCTATTGCATACATCAATCATTCTTTGGACCTGAATTTCTGTAACTCAACTTTATTCTCTCCAAAATGGGGGTGTTTGGGCCAGCCCGGTGGCGCACTGCTATAGTGCGCTGCTTGGGAGCGTGGCGGCGCTCCCGCCGAGGGTTCGGATCCCACATACAGACCGGTTCCCGCTCACTGGCTGAGCGAGGGGCAGGTGCAGCACCAAGGGTTGCGATCCCGTTGCCGGTCCTGGTCCGGTACGGGCGCAACACTGAGGGTTGCGGTCTGTTGCTGGACACGAAAAAAGACAAAAAGGAAAAAAAAAAATGGGGGTGTTTCAGTGGTATAACCACTAGGGGCTCTGTGAATAAGAACATATACAAAGTCAGGCCAGCCCGTGGCTCACTCGGTAGAGTGCGGTGCTGATAGCACCAAGGCCACGGGTTCGGATCCCATATAGGGATGGCTGGTTTGCTCACTGGCTGAGCGTGGTGCTGACAACACCAAGCCAAGGGTTGAGATCCCCTTACCGGTCATCTTTAAAAAAAAAAAAAAAAAGAACATATACAAAGTCTTTAAAATTCTTGAACCAGAGAAAGTGTTGTCTACATATTACATGATCTGAGGAAAAATCCTGATAGAGAATAAGGCAAGCAGAACGAACTTGCCTCCCACTTTTCTCTGGGCTTCTGACGACATTTTGTCCTTACAATTCTCAAAACCAAGATTCTTAGCATTAGCTTAAACAAGCCACCATACAGAATAAGGCTGGCACCTACTCTCATGGAGCTCTTTACGTTTGAAAAGGATTTGGAGACTTCTGAATTCCTCAACTTTTTATGACCCTAAGATGGTCCATCTTCCTCTTGGACAAAATCTATGCAGAGTCTTTGTTTGCTTGGATGTGAGAATAAATAGGCTGGCAGGATATTTCCAGGGGAAAGCAAGAAGAGTCTGAATGTGTGGGTCAAGAAATAGGCAAAAAAGAAAAAAAATAAATACAGGGATACAAAGGAATTTGTTAGCCTTGAAGAGATAAATATTGAAAATCAAAAAAAATGAGAGAGGGGGCTGGAAGAATGATTCAAATATGGATGACAGCCAGAGAGAGAGAAACAGAGTCTGGTAATGTGTTGTAAAACACTGCATGGATGAGATGGAACTGTTTACATAAGAAGGAACCCAAGGAAAAAAGGAAGGCTGGGGCCAGAGTGTGAGAGGCAAAATCGGCTGATGGAAGAAAGGCGTACATGAGAGTGGGCCAGTGCTTCCAGCGAGCAGCCAGATCTCTCATCAGTGTGGTCATAACCTTTGGAATGAGGGTGTGAGTGGCTGCAAATTCCCATCTCCCTTCTCATTCCAGCCTCATTGTAACACTGCAATCTGCGCCTCTAGCCTGGCTCTCTCTCCCTCGCTCTGCCTCATCTCATTGTGTCAAAGTAGGCCAAATCCGAAGTCCTTTCCAGGGAGTGGCTCTGTTCATCTTATTCTCCATCCAGAGTAGAAACAGTGTGAGAAGGAGAGAGACACATTCAGCAGGCAAAGGACTCGGTGGAAAGAGCAGAGCACCGTAGACAGTGAGTTGTTTTATTATATAAAACTCTAAATAGAGGGAATGTGTGTGCGTGTGTAGGTGCATGCATGCGTGTGTGTGTGTGTGTGTGTAGGTGCATGCATGCACGTGTGTGTGTGTGTGTGTGTGTGTGTTGAAGGGCTAGAGAGGGCAATGGGGAGTGTCACTGAACTTAGAATTGAGCAACCCCCCCAATTATCTATGGAATTCAAATGAGGAGACGCCAAGATGGGTAGATGATATGAAAAAGACATGGATATCAGAAAGGAAGTGTACATGATAGGGGTAGAGGCTAAGGCCAGGAATGGGCCATTTAGAATATAAAATTTCCTCTGACTTGGTGGAAAAGAGTAACAAGAGCAAAAATAGTAAGTGACTGAAGAACGGGTTTGAAGAAGAGATGAACACTGGGTGAAAGACAAGAAACAGAGAGAGGGTCTGAGTCATAGGGGAAACCAAAACAGCTCCTGGGAAGACAAAGCGGCAGGGGCCCCAGCGGCATCTCTCCCGGGAATGGACATGCTAACGTGTCCCTGAGCACCACACTCTGCACTCTCCCCAGCACCTGTTAGATATGCTGCTCTCGGGACCCCCGGTGCTGCTGCTGCTCACTGCACTCGTCAGCCCCTCCGGTGAGTCCCCACCTTTATGCTTTTCCCCCTAAAATGTCAGCTCTTCAGCCCTACGTGTGTGGAGGTGGGTGTTAGAAGGTGGGACAGAACAAGGCTGAAGGGGAATGGGAGGAGAGATGGCTGGTATTGAGTTCTGGAATTGCTACGAAAGAGAAGAACAGATTTTGTGTCAAGGAAAAAAGAGCAGGAATGTGACTAGAGATGAACTCAGACTTGGGAAAAGGTATTGTGAGGGTTATGAAACTAAGATACACGCAAATGTACATTAACAATCAAAAGAGGGTTACACACATAAATATACAAATGAATAGCAAAGGGAAAAGAGGCTAATATACAAGTGCATTTACAAACATATAGGGACTACCTAATAAGAAACCGGACCAAACTTAAATCCTGGAGGAAAACAGTGGGACTATATGCACTGATACCTAACAAACACCAGCGTCAACATACACACAAGTATATTCACATGCATGCAAAACATACACACCGTATCAATACACAAAAGAAAAATGATCTTCTGGGGTTCAATCCCTGTACTTGCCAGCTGCCGAAAATAAAAAAATAAATGATCTTCATAGATTTCATAAGATCTAGCTCAAAGATTGACCACAGAAAGTGAACCTTGGACTTTGAAGAAATCCTACTCTATTTTTTTTCTCTTCCCACCAGATACAGATCAAATTAATTCTTCTGCCTTGGTTAGTAGTGTAGCTAATGGGAAGGCTGTGGGGATAAAAGGGCAGAACACTCTAGAAAGGCTGCTGGCCCTCTGTGGATCAGGACCCCATTCCTGGCTGGGAATGAAGGCAAGAAGGGCATGCTGAGTGCGGGCGCCGCTGAGTGGGGCATTGTTCTCAGGAATGCTTCTCCTCAGTGCTCCTATTCGTATCTGTTTCGTGCATAGCACTAATGGGCTGAGTAACTTTGTACGAGCTGCACGGAAATAAAACACAAAGAGAAAGTACAGCCATTTCTCCAACACTTTATCGATCGTCTCATAAAAGGGTTATGAAACGGGGTGCAGAGCTGGAGTCACTCACATTCCTTTTCTTCTTACTTTCTACAGACTCGATACCCCTAGAGGTTAATGGTCAAGGAGGAGGTAGGTAAACCCTGGTATACAGGCTGTGTTCAGGCTCTTATCAGGGAAACGTAAATGAACAGAGTTAAACCGTTTGTCCTCCAACAGAGAGCTACACCACTGAGAAAGAGGCCCTGCCTCACCAGCTGCCGCAATCCTACTGTGTCATTCATAAACGTTCTTGTCTTTTTTTTATCTTTCTACTGAAACACCTGTCTCAAGACCTCCTCTATGCCCATCTCTGGTTTCCACGCTCCTCTCCACATCTCTTATCCCACTCAGAAAATGCCCACTAATCCTTACAGAAAGTATGTTTCAATCCATGTAACGGTGGAGAAACTAAAAGGCAAAGAAGTCTTCTCAGCACTACAGTGAATTGTAGCACAACTGGACAGAACCCAAAAGTCTTGGCTCATAAAAGACTACTTCCTTCAGCTCGATGAAGGAAACTCCACCCTGCCTCAGGGCATTCCACGTAATTACAATTTATCTCTGTACTTTTCCCAACCCAGGAGAGTTAGAGGGTAGAGGACTGCAGTATGTAACACATTAATGAGTCACCTCCGTTTTTCTTTAATGAATTAAGATAGACTAAAATAAATATATCAGAGTGTATTGCGTGTGTTTTGGAAGAACAAAGTATTATTTTATAAAACTTGTTTAAAAAAACTTGTTTCAGTTTTACATATATGTGCTCTGGGGCACGATATAATATGTATTTCTTGCTATATGTCCTGATACAGAAGATAAAAATATAAAAATACAATCTTTTTTTTTCTGTTGTTAGTAAAAATATCTGAATTCCCAAGTTTCTGAAGCTAGATCAGATTTCAGCATAGCAAAACTAAAAATCAGAATTCATTTATCTGGGCTGGTTAAAGATCAGTCCTGTTTTATGACTTTAGGATGCTTTTCTAGCAGAAATACTACAAGTTATAATAAAGATGTCTTAAGATCCCTTTCCAGAGAACTTCATGAATCCTAGATAAAGCATTTATGTGGTGGTAGCTCATGGAAACCTCTTGAACCCTCTGCTCACCCACTGCTTCACTCCTATTTCTGTGAGTGGCTGGACTGGAATGTAGCTCAGGCTCTGGAGAAAGGGAACTGGGGAAGGATTGGGCTACACCCTGGAGAGGCTCCTCTCGAGTTTTACGGTCTCTGGAATGATTTGGGTCAGTGGTTTTTCAAATATCCAGTGGGTTGGGAACAGACTTGGATTCCTTTTATCAAAAATTGTTCTGGAAGAAGAAAGCTTATTCTGAGTGTTATAGGCGAAGAGGCTCTTTTTTCAGACCTGATGAATTTCTATCTGGAATTTGGGGTGGGGAGAAGAAAGGATGAGGTAAGCAGGGAAAAGTCATACCAAACGCTTTATGTTTCACTTCTCTTACAATTATCAGTAATTCTGAGATGCTTTATAAAAATGTTTACTGTCACCAGATTTAAATATGATATTTAGAATCTGAAGTTTAAAAAAAGTCAATGCAAATTACATGAATTTGCTGACCCCTAGTGGGTAAAACAGATTAGGACTGTAAACTATTGACATTGAAGGATAAATGCAAGTGAATAATTTACTAAATATTTAAATGTTATTTGCTAAGAAAGTAGATTTCAGGTGTTCTTATGCACACACACACAAAAGGTAACCATGTGAGAAGACAGATATGTTAATTTGCTTGACTGTAGTACTTATTTTATTTTGTATATGTATGTCAAAAAGTCATATACACCTTAAATATGTACAATAATATATATATATATAAATTAAAAGATAAAAGTAAATGTTAACGCTGCTTTATTTTGCTTTTTAAAATACAATTTGTTAGGGGCCAGCCCGTGGCTCACTCGGGAGAGTGCGGTGCTGATAAAATACAATTTGTTTTAGGAAGTGCTGTTCCTTGCAGTTTCCAATTCTGTTTTCTCAGTTTATATATAACTGTTTTTATTTCTTCTTCTGCCTTTACTTTTCAGTGATCAAACGCAAAGCATTCTCTACTAACATTGGCATTTTCCCTCCCCTCTCTTCACCTCATTTCTCACTGAACATCATAAAACTATCAACACCACCGTTTGTGAACGCTCTTCCTTGCTAGCAAATTCATATTCAATTACATCAGAATTATAAGTGTCAAAATCATAATGTCTTTGGTATAGATGATTTTCATTTTAAATAAGTATTAGAAAGAGGTCATCAGTCCATTGTATTTATTGTAAGTAATCAAGGGTAAACAATTGAAAGATACTTTAAGTTTGGGGCGCTGTGCTAGACAATTTCACTTACTGGGAATGCAAAGGTGGCTGGGGGCAGACGATGCTCAGAAAATGTTTTCCGATTTTTTTCTTTTTTTTTTCAGATAATGTAACTCAAGTGACTCAAGTGACTCAGGAAACATTCACAGAAGATCCTAGTAAGCTACCATTTTTTTGTTTGTTTGCTGTCATGTCGGGGATAGATGGAATGAAGTTGATGTCTGTGCAAAGAAAAAAAAAAGACGAGAAGGCCGGCCCGTGGCTCACTCGGTAGAGTGCGGTGCTCATAACACCAAGGCCACGGGTTCGGATCCTATATAGGGATGGCCGGTTTGCTCACTGGCTGAGCGTGGTGCTGACAACACCAAGCCAAGGGTTGAGATCCCCTTACCGGTCATCTTTAAAAAAAAAAAAAAAAAAGACGAGAAAAGGGTTGGCGGTCACTCTAGTCACTCAGAGCTCCAGCTCTGGTGTCTGTCTTAGATGCCACAATCTCTATAAACATGCCCAATCTTGTTAACTCTTCCGCTTCTTTCTGTGATAGTCCCTTACATTAGCCCAACAGTTCTCATGCGTTCACTTCAATCTTTTGTCTCCTTTGAGATCACTATCCTTTTTTTCTTTTTTTGGTGGCTGGCCGGTGGTAAGGGGATCCGAACCCTTGACCTTGGTGTTATCAACACAGTCCAAGATCACCAACCTTCTACCCTGCTTCCCTTAGCTACTTTTTCTACCTTCACCTTTTGTTTCCTGTTTTCTACCTTTGCAGATCTGGTGAACGACCCTGCTACAGACGAAACAGGTAAGTTTCACTGCAGTTCTTTTTAAATGGCATGATTTTTATTAATATTTGTAATATTTATTCCAGCTCTTGAGTTAATTCTAAACTAGAGTACTTCAAAAAGTTCGTGGAAAAATCAAATTAAAAGATAATATGGATCTTTCCATGAACTTTTTGAAGTTCCCTCATATTTTTATCGTTGGATCCGATGGATGTGGGAGTGTTGTTCAGTGATAGTGGGATAAAGGAAAAAACAAAAGCCTTCTAGTCCTCTAAAAAGAGGAGACAGTGGATTGATAGCTAAAATAAGGCATGGATAACAAATGCTCCTACAAATTAGTATAATGTCAACAGGAAGAATATTCTTCAAAAACTATTCACAATTACTTCAATTAATTCTATTCCCTTGAACATAACACATGAACCCAGCCATGGCCTGAACCTTGCTTGATACCCCATTCTCCCTTTTCCTATTCTGCCTTCCCCCTTGCAATTCAAAGCCTTCCTCACACCTGCTGTTTTGTGTCTTTTCAGTACTGGCTGATATCGATCCTTCCACAGATGACCTGGGTGAGTTCAGATCTGGTATCCCATGGCCACCAGGGCCGTTCTAGGCTTTTCCCAGAGCCCATTATGGAAGGCAGTGCAGCTGCCGAAGCATCCTAAATAGACAGAATTACAGTTTATGTAGCACATTCTTCTAACAGTTCAATTTTAATTTATGACATTTTTGAACCCTTAACAAACAAGAACTGTGTTAGATGTTTGATATACGAAATACCAAGACGTGATCTTTCAAAGTTTCCATGATTTGGTGGGTAAAGGCAAGACAAATGTTTGGGAAATTAGAGGATGCTCTCTAGAAGTAATGCTTGAACTGAATCTTGAAAGAATTGGAGTAAGCCTGAAGGTCGAGCAGGGGATGGGCTTTCCAGCCAGAGGCAACAGTATGTTCAAAGGTGCAAAAGAAAAGAAAGCTTGGCCCGGGGCCAGCCCGTGGCTCACTCGGGAGAGTGTGGTGCTGATAACACCAAGGCCACGGGTTCGGATCCCATGTAGGGATGGCTGGTTAGCTCACTGAGTGAGCGTGGTGCTGACAACACCAAGTCAAGGGTTAAGATCCCCTTACCGGTCATCTTTAAAAAAAAAAAAAGAAAAGAAAAAAGAAAAGAAAGCTTGGCCCGTGTGGGAAACTGAGTTTTTTTTTGGAAACTGAGTTTTGTTTAATGGCTGGAGAAAAAACTACAAGGAACCGTGGTAGGAAGGGAAAAAAGGAGATAGAAGCTAGATTATTTTTAACAAATAATTATTTGAAGCCTGCTACTAGGTGCCAGGGATATAAAGGTGCGTAAAACTGATCTTCTTCTGTCAAAGAACAAAATTACAACAAATTTAGTTGGAGATTTCAATTGGCTTTATTGCGATTCTAGAATCAGGGTCTGTAAAATTAAGTGTTCCAACGAGCCAAGCAGAGGAGGTTGGTTTTACAAACAGAAAAAGGCTGAGGAAAGCAGAAACAAATACCAAAAAGCGGATTGGTCATTTCAAAGTTACTTTCCTTGTAAGGTGGGGACAGGAAGACAGAACAATAGAAAAATAACATCAGGTTACTTCAGGCTGTCTCTTTTGTGTAAGGATTAAAGCAGTGGGAACTTCATTATTTTACCTATTGAAGATTTAAACTAGCCTGTTCGGGAAATTAGCTATCTTTCTCCTGACTTCACCAAGACCATGGCCTATGTGAAATGGAACTCAGCTGGTCTTTTGGGACCTAGTGCAAGAATTTAGTACAAAGCAATGGCCTGTTCGGGAAATTAGCTATCTTTCTCCTGACTTCACCAAGACCATGGCCTATGTGAAATGGAACTCAGCTGGTCTTTTGGGACCTAGTGCAAGAATTTAGTACAAAGCAATGGCCTCCTATAATTTTTACTTCACACTTCCACCATTTTTTTTTTTTTTTTTTTTTTTTTGGTGTCTGACCAGCCTGTATGGGGATTCAAACCCTTGGCCTTGGTGTTATTAGTACCACATTCTCCCACGTGAGCTATCTTTCTTTGTTTTGTTTTGTTTTGTTTATTTTAAAATTATTAAATTCTACTGGATTCTTTTGCATAATAGATAAGAGAAAACTGAACAGATGACTTTATAGGGTTTTGCAAATTTCTATAATTAGGACGAGCAAAAAAAGCTACAGAAGACACAGAAAGAGTGCTTGACTATATTCAGTGTTGGGGGTTAGGAAAGGCTTTTCTGAAGGGCACATGGACTAAGTTGCTTACTGAAAGACAAGTGGAAGTGAGCCAAGTGAATAGAAAGAGGAGGAGTTTCTAAGTAAAAACAAACAAAATCAACGCGGGCAAAAGGCTTAGGATGAAAATAAAAACCAGAGAGGTTTATGCAAGGAAGGGTTCCAATCAGATTTGTGCACTGGAAAGATCACCTCCCCTCCCCCTCCTGTACCCCTGGGCAGTGTGGAGAATTGATTTGACTGTGATCTGCCTGGAACTGGGGAAAACCAGCAAGAATGCTGTTGCAGAGGTCTCAGTAAAAGATGACAGCTACAGCTGGCCGGTGGCTCACTTGGGAGAGCTGGTGTTGATAACCCAAGGTCAAGGGTTTGGATCCACCTACCAGCCTGCTGCCAAAAAAATAAATAAATAAAAAAGGAAGATGGCCTGAACCAAGGTAAAGGTAGTGAGACCCCAACATAAGCTACAGAGAGAGGAGATGGTTGAGATGATGTCCAGTTTTCTAGATGTGGCTATTGGGTGGATGGTGGTACAATTCAATGAAGAACAATTCGAGTTGATGAAGGGAAAGATAATTAAGACAATTTGAGATATGTTAAAAAGATCTTTGAAATATTCAAGAATTCTTCTGTAAAAATGTGGTTGGATGTATAAGTCTGGAGCTTTGGAAAAAAATCTGGGATTGAAACATAAGTTTGGGAATTATCAGCATATAGACCTGACTTGAAACCATGACACAGATGAGATCACCGAGCATACTTCTTCATATCCTATCTTTTAGTAACTCTTCCAGTGACATTTTCCCAGGTAACTCTCCTGGCTAGTCTATTTCCTCAACACTCATGGAGGTCCTTGACCTTTTCTTTTCTTTTTTTTTGCAGCTGGCCAGTATGGGGATTCAAACTCTTGACGCTGGTGTTATAACACCACTCTCTAACCAACTGAGCTAACCGCCAGCCCCTTTACTCTGTTAAGGAGATTCATATTAAACTTGCCCCTGGGTTAGGTTTGGCTATGGTTATGACCCTTGTATTAGTCTGTTTATGTTACTTATAACAAAATACTGGCAACTGAGTGATTTACTTAGAAAACAAAATTTATTGCTTACAGTTTCTGAGGCTGGGAAGTCCAAAGTCCATGTGGTGGTGGCAACAGTGACCCAGGGGTCTCACATTGCAAGATGGTGGAAACAGAGTGAGCAGAGAGAGAGAGAGACAGACTCTCCTCTTCTTTGAAAGCCCTCAGTACCATGCCCCTGACCACCATTTTAATCCATTCACTACTGTGTGGTCCTACAATCTAATCATCTCTACAAGGCTCCACCTTTCAATTACCATAATAGGATTTCCCACCCTCTTAACAGTCACAGTGGGAGCTAAGTTTCTAATACATAAAACTTGGGGGACACAATTCAAGCTCCAGTGAGTTTGGGGGGGCATAATTCAATCCACTACAGACCTTTGATATTCTTTATCCAACAACATGCATCAAAGAACCCATAATGATGTATCTCATCTACAGAAATTTTCTCCTATGAGCAGAGCTTCTATAGGATAATAATCTCTCTTGTTGGCATATGGCTCTTTGACTTTGTTCCTACTAATTTGTCAACGATGCAAAGATATTCACAATACAATGTATTTTCAACTCTCTAGGAGAGAAAGAAAAAAAGAAAAATCCTATCCTAACTCCTAAATATCTTTAATTTTGTGGATCAAATCAGCCCAATATAAGTTTTGCTAAAAGAGTTATTAATTCATTTGTTCCCTGTTTGTGGGCATCCCAAATAGGTCCCCAGTGAGGCAACATGACAGTTATAGGGGTAGTGACTTCTAGAATTAGTAATAACTGAATAAAATTTCTGCATTCCAGCCTCGCCCAATGATAAAAACACCACCTCAGGTATGATTCTCTCTTGCATGTCTTTTTCTTAATTTTTTTTTTCTTTCTGTAGATTATTTGCTTCTTGGAGGGTACTTTGTACATCTTCTAATTTACTTCCAATTTTATTTATTTATTTACTTATTTATTTAAAGGTGACCAGTAAGGGGATCTTAACCCTTGACTTGGTGTTGTCAGCACCACGCTCT